CACACGCGTCGGGTCGTTCATTTCCTTTTGCGCTGTCACATGTAATGCAGATTGCACTTGTTCACTTGAAAGCACATCCCATACGTGCTTTTCATGTTAATTATCTATATTTATATGCGTGATTTCTATTCTTTGAATTATACTAGCGATTTGTGCCACACGCTGCGATTTGGTGGAAATTCTGTTTACGACTGGAGGAGCGATAACGCCACGGAAAATTCAACAACCAACAAACAAGAAAATTGACAGAAGACTGTCCGCTTCGGAACATTTGTTTTTCCACTTCCAATTGGTGGATTTCGCATATTCCAATCAGAAAATGACGGTGTTGCCAGTGGGAAATGAATTTTTTTCTAACAAGAAAATGTAAAATCAAAATCAGGGTTGCAAATTCGCAGGGTGCCTTTGATGAATATTTTTTTTGGTTATATCGACAAAATGTTTGATGATGCATTTCCGAATGTCCCTTTTTGCAGTTATTCGAAAAAAGTTTCCAATGATGCATATACAAACGTTTCTTTGAAATTTGCTTTTAATCAGGTTTAAAATTTTTTAATTACGCATACATACGCACGCTTTTTCACGGAAATGTAAAAAAATTAATTTCCCCAGGCAAATTTTGCTGTTATCCAAACTTTTTTTTGCAAGCTAAACAGTAAGTCTATCATTTTATTTTGGTTAAAAGTACCCATATGTGAAAGTTACGTGATTGACGGGATATCTAACTCACGCACGTTCAGGCTAGCAAAAATTTGTCAAAATCACTCACATTCACGCGGGAAAAATCGTGACACAACGTTTCACGTAGAAAATCAAGTGTTTTACCCATCTCTAATCGAGACTTCTTAAAAAATAATGAATTTTCGTGGCAAAATATTCGACATCCTGAACTGAGACCCAACTGGTATAACTTATTGCACCCTTTCCGCATCATACTTTCCCCTCATATTCAGGGCTACTACTGAATCCATTGTAGTCCGATTTTACTTGAAATCTACGAAAATGCTATCACTGAATTAGAATAGCTGCGATTGTAGCATACACTTTGCATATACGAAAATCGGACTACGATGGATTCAGCGATAGTCTATATTAGATAGCTGTTTGTTCCGGTATGCATTATTACTTCTCACAACACCCCGTTGAGTCCTAACTCAGATATAATATCAAATAGATTGTTTTGGTGATACTGAGTGTATGTGTTTTAAAGCTGGACTCGAATCGTCACATACGATATCGTATTACTCGTTACTTAAAAACACATTTTCCAACTATGACATACGTGAACGTACTCTTCGTCCCATTCACCTTATACTGCCTGATGTATCACGTATTTTCTTTCGTATCGTTTTCGATCCGTGAGCGGATGTTATGATTCGGAAACCTGGTCCTAATGACCCAAGGTATTTCGGGATTCGAGAATCAGCTAAGCAGTTTTAGCAGCATTGTCACAGAAATGGCAAGAATCGTTAAAACAGATCGCGAGTTTAAAGTCGCCTTAATTTGCAATAACCTGTTTCGATGTCCGTTAGAATGCTTATTCGACTTTCACAATTCCTCAACCACCTACCTAACTCTTTAACGAATTCGTCACCTTAATCTAAACTTAGTGAACTTGGCGGTTGATCAAGGATTATACAGCGAGCAATATATCAAAATGTCGAAAAGATCATACTTACTCATTTCAATTATTCCATCATTCGCATAAATTCCATTTATTACTGTTTTAAAATTCAGCGAAATAAAAATCACTTGTTTTATACGTTAAAACGCTTAATCGGTTTACTTAAATAATTCTCTTATTGTTGCTTCAATATTCAGGAATAGGTTATATTACTGTAAAAAAATCGTTTAATATTGAAAAATCATAAATAAACAGAAAATACATCCAAATAAATTTAAAACGCAAGCGAAAATTGGGATTCAAACTTTGTTACAATAATTATATAGTACTATTCACCTCTTTTGCGTTTTCTCTTCTTGATTTTCATTTCTTTTACTAATTTTGATTGGTAAAAAACAAATACAAATACAATACATTTCACATACAGTAACGTACAAGCACATAAAGATTGTTACAATTATGCATTCGTTTTCTTCTGTTTTCGAATTTAATGCAATTCGATTCTTTCACCAAAAACTATTTATTTTTTACAGCATTTTCATATTATTATAATTTTGGGTGCATTCCAAAATGTGAAAATACAGAGCATGAGTCTCTTTTTATTTCTAAACCGCACTAAAAGAAAAAGTCTAACTTCTGCAACCTTGTTGAAAACTTTCATCTAATCGTGGTTGCGCACATTTGGCATGAAAATCTACCGAGGTTTAGAAGTAAAAGAGACTGATGCCTTGTATTTGGACGTTTTGGAATGCACCCTTTTTTTAACTCTCAATTATTTCTGATTCGCTTCTGCTTGCACTGCTCGTGTATATAAATATGCATTTTAGTGTATGAATGCTGCTATGCTATGATGTATGTATGTGGTATGTACAATTTTAACTGCTACGCTTAATAATGATTTGGTATATGCTTGACAAGATATTCACGTTTGTTTCGTACATCCTCTCATTTTCTAACATCCTTCTTGTATTAATTTTTCTTACTCTATTTTTTGTTTTTGATTCTTTTCTACCATGCATTATGTGTTTATATGCATGTATATGCAACTACAGTGAAATGCGCAGTAATATCTTGTTCGAATGATAACTTCGCTACTGCTTCTCTGTTAATCATTTATGTAGTTTTCCTATTTTTGTGATTTCTATTTGTGTGTTGCATTTAGTTTTAGTTATTGTTTTTATGTTCAGTTGAATTGAATATACTTTTTTGCTGCTTGTTTAAATTGTGGACATTTTATGACCTTTCTTTCGAGCGTAAACTTAAATTGCATAGCTAAGTATGTATGTATGTATGTATATATGTAAATATAGTTTATATGTACCAGCTAAACTTTATTTAACCCTCATCAATAGAATTATACGCGTATTTTCTTACTTTTTCATTGTTGATTTTAGTTTTTATTTCTTATTTATTTATTTAATTATTATTATTTAATTCTTTATTTACGAAATGATATTGACATTTGAGTAAAGTGTACTTTCAACTACCGTCTCATCGTCCTAACTCACTACTCTTTCAGCGCCGTCACCACCTCACCACCCCTTCCATTTGACGTGCAGACATCCAGCATCTTCACTTGACTCACACGCGTACATACATACATACCATCTTTTTAAACTTTATATATGTATGCGCACGTAATTTTCTGTATTTCTTATGAGTGTTTGTATGTAATTTCTCATTGCGGCGGGGAGTTATTGGCTTAACAAAAACGTTTCTTATATCTCAATTCACAACATTTCCTATTCTAAAAATTATTTTCTTTTTGTTTGAGTGTACAGTTTTTTGTTTGCTTTTGTTTGCATGTATGTATGTAAGTATTTTGTGTACAATTTAAGCCAAATCGAAAACAATTAACGTGAAATGAGCAATAATCACATACAAAAAACTTAATATAGACAATCACAATGAAATAATTAACGCACACTGGGCTGCAGTGCGCAGCACCTTTTTTTTTGTAATGTTTGTAGACTGTTGTTTATACGCGCCTCCATCCTTGCTGTCAATCATACTTAATCGTTGTTATTGTTGTTGCTGTTGTTGGTGTTCCGTTTTGTTAAGTTTTGTGGAACAAAACATGGTTCTACAGTTATCCTGTTGCATACTAGACTGCATAGAAGCATAAACAGACGGCAGCGTTGATCCGGATCAACTCGGGAATTAACTGCCGTCTGTTTAAGCTTTTAGAGTTCAGTTGAGTTGAGTTGATTTTAATTAAGTTGAGTTGTCGTAAAATTGGCGTTGGTATCATCACTACTGTCAATTATTTATATATGTTTGCGCATGCCCTTAACACATCTCGACTTCACATAATATATTTGTATGTAAAATACAATTTAAATCACAACAAAACTATTGCATATATATAAATTCATAAACGATAAGACACACAGAAATTACAAACATACAATTAATCTTATGCTTTTTTATGTTTACATTTATTACAATGCTTTATTTTTTATATGTATTTTTCTTTTGTTAAATTTTTCGTTTTTCTGCCTTAAGTTCTCATTGTTTTTTTTTTTGGTTTTTTCCTTTAAAGTTTATATATTATTATGTTCACCTAATTTTACGTCACAGTATAAAAAAGAATTTACAACTAATTTCTATTTTAATATTTTCTGAATATAGATTATATCACTAGGTTCATTATTACTCAATACATTGATTAGTTATGATTCCGTTTCATTACCCTCTCTAAAACTGTATAATTAATTTTAATAAAATATGCATACATATGTAAATATATATAAAGAAAATATAACAAAATAAACAAGAAAGAAAAAAAGCAAATAGAAAAATTATTATAAATTTGAGTAATTGTTTTTGTATTAAAAGTTATTGACTAATTTACTTAGTTAGGTTTAACTAGTCGCCGGGATGCTCGGGGCAAGATCGATTCACCTCGAACCATCGATCGATGCAGCTAAAACAGAGAGAGTAGCGATTATTAGTTTAAATTTGAAAGAAGGCAATGAGAGAAAGCTTACCCTTTATGATAAATACACAAGCACGGCAATCGTGCTATAATATCACCGGGATTCAAATCTTCTAAGCAAATTACGCATTCGCCCTTGGCATCGGATAAAACATCCTCTGAAAGATTTGAAAGAAATATAGTAAATGCAAATTTTCAAAATAAATATTTGGAATAAAGAGAGCTGGATTAGTAAATGGATTTTTTTGAGTTTAGCCTTACTTATCTTCAAGAACCGGGTTTATATCTCTACTTATAGGCATTGGAGAAGCTTCATTTTTATCTCATTTCGAAGCATGATCAATTTTAAAAATTGTGGCGATAGTAAAGAAAATCACTTGGCTACTTTGATTTTTATGCGTCTCTTTATCAAGCCCGATAAAAAGTATGCATATTTGTTTTTTTTTTTGAGCAGGCACAGCGACTTTAATACAAGAAAAGGATTACAATGAACCTACAAAAACATATTATAGATGCCTTCCAAATAATTCAAGGACAACACGCTCCTTGTCGCTTTTATCGTTGCAAGCAAGGACTACTACTATCAGCCCAATTTTAAATACTTCCAGGGAGTTTGTTCTCTGGGAATTTGTTTCTCCC